ATATGTAGTATTACAATAAATTTACTACATTTATTTTAAGGATAATACAATTTAGTTCGGTTTATGTGAACAATGTCATTTTTGCCATCTCTTAGTATTTCAACATTCCGTGAGCAATCTCTAATTACTAAATATGGACCTGAATAAATGGCGCTGAGTTTGTTACCAGTTTCTTCTTTAATTAATATCAAATCATTAATTTTATAAGATATAGCATTCATTTTACAATCATATTTGGATTTCCTAACAATTTTACTATTGTTTATATTTTCTCTTGCTTCCTTTTGAGAGGTTTGTAGGCGATATTTTAACTCTAACGGATAATCTTCGTAATTATATAGGGGTTCTACGGTTTTAGTTAAATTTCTGGGTAAATTACATTTTTTGCCATAAACTAACTCGAATGGGGTATACTTAGTTTCGCGGTGAACGGAAGTATTATATGAAAAGCACCAAAAAGGTATCCAAGAACTCTAAGATTCGAGGTGATTGTCTGTCTGTATACGTAAAAATGCTCCTAAACTCTTGTGGGAATTTTGAAGTGCACCAATACTCTCGTGATGGTAAGCTGTGGAATTTAATTTATTAATTTTTAATAAACTACATACCTCTTTCATAACTGTGAACATAATCTCGGTACCTCGACCTGTGGCTATCTCCTTCGATACTTCGTGGCGAAGAATGAAATTGTTTACAAAAGCCTGTGCAGCTTCTACAGAACTCTTAGAAACTAACGGGTATGCCTCTACGTATTTACACATCTCAAATTAGAGTGTTAATATATGTGAATAATTACAACTATCTCTAGAAGTGGGTTAAGGGAGGTTATTTTCTAGAGGTCCTACGATATGTAAGAAAATTTTCTCGAAGGGAGTTTGAGCTGTAGACGTTACAGTCATAGGCTCCCTAACGGAAACGGAATGCTTTTGGTTCTGGCATTTGTCGCACCGGCTCACAAATGCTGTTATGTCTCTTTCAATAACTGGCCAATAGTAATATTTTTTTTATGTTATTCAACATCCTCTTTATACCCGCGTGGCCACTAGTGGGGAGAAGATGAAAGTCATTCAATATCACTCTTTGGTCGTCTTTGTCATAGATTCTTTCAATTTCTTTTAAAATAATAATTCTTGGTCAAGACCAATTTTTAATACTCTTAATCTCATTTAATACTTGCTCTATAAATTTATTACTTTCTTTATATTTCATGAAGTATACTTAGTTAATATTTATTTTCTTACAAAAATCAGACAGATCCCTCATAAATTCGCCTCGCGATAATTGTGATCGGATAGCTGGATTTATATAAATAGTCATTTTCTTTAAAACATATATAAAAGTTCGAGATTTGCATGGGGTTTCATTGTTCTTTCGTAATTTTTTTAAATCACTTTTATCGATAAATCTTAATTCTATCGATATCTTTGGTTTATTAGGTTCCCTCTACGACTCTTGGGTTATCAAGCCAATTGTCAATATTCACAATATCATGCAAAGAATCACAGTTCTTCCGTGTCATACTACACTTCTCTTCCATTTTATTGAGCTCTTGTCGTTACGTTCACACTACACTCACTCATATCTTTCAAGTCTTTCGATGTAATACGTATTCTAGATAAAGCATCTGCAGCGGCATTTTCACTTCCTCTTACGAGTATATACTCTACTATATGTTTCTCCTAAATTCAATAATCTACTTGACGGATCTTTCATGTTAAAGAGATAAATAAGGGGTTTGTGGTCAGTGTAAATTTTGAAAGAACGGCCATATAAATAAGGTCTAAAGTACTTGACAGCCCAAACGATCGCCAGTAATTCTTTTTTCGATTATAGGGTAATTGTTTTCTGGTCAATTTTCACATCCTTCTGGGTGATGCCCGCTAGAATACAACTACTTCTTTCCCTTTTTAAATTAATATGCCGTATTTTGAAATCCACATTTTATTTTCCTCGTTCTTTGTTTACTAATTAATAAATTAATAATATTCATAGTTTGATTGTCTTCATAGTACTACATATATTTCAATTTTAATTTTGAGTTAACTTCTTTAAATTATTATTGTGGCCACTTCTCGTATCGGTTTTTGGTTTTCTTGTCACATCCGGTAGTATGTCAATTCAATAATTGTTTTTTTTTTCTTTATATTATTTCTTTAAATTATTTTCCCATTTTATTAAAAAAAAATTGCAGGCCGCGGCGGTGCGCTGCGACAATGCACGCGCACCGCCTGGCAGGGTCGCCATGTAATATAGGAAAAATAAAGGGTGGTTTCATAATATTCTACTGAATCTATTAATTGTTTATTTACGGATTCATCGTCATTCATAACTGGTAATAAACTCAGGGCGACTTTTAAATCAAATTTATCCATGTTTGAGGTTGGTATAGTTTGGCCTAAATTACTTATAAGTTCTCTTTCTTTCGACTCAGATGGTGTACTTGAGGAATATTTTACAATATCTTTATATAACGAAAGAAATTTCTGTGAATAGTCGACTATCAACTTACTATCACTAGCGCTAATATTACCACAGCTTAGTTCATTTTGTAAGTAAAAATTTAATGTTAAATATTTGCCATACAAATTATTTGCTTCACTTAACAACGTAAATATTAACGCTCAGGATCAATTTTTCTTCTTTAATTATTTTTAGCTCTTGACACAATACTTTTAAATCATCTGCCATAACTCAACAAAATACGCTTATGATTAAAATTCATTATTACTAATTTTTTTTTTTGTTATACAAATATAATATTTTATACTTAATACTAAATAGTTGTTACGTAAGCATATAGACTCAAATACCTATCAAAGTCCATCTGTCCATTTCGTTCCTTACAAAGGCATGTTTTGCATTCCGGATCCAGGTTGCTCGGGTTACATCACTTACAATACATTACTTTCTTATAATATTAATAACTTTTCTTACAACGTAAATTCGGAGTCACTTGAAATTATGTTTCTTGATCAATTACAGCTGTAGAACCAGGTAAGGTGGCCCGTTGACGTCTGAATGATCCACGGAGTATATACTGATGTATGCTGGACCCAGCGGTGGTATATTATAGGATGAAAAGAGCCATCAATAGCAATATTACCAGTAGTAGAATATTTGTGGTGGACGCGTGAAATTTTAACTCCTTTATATATGCGTTATTTTCTGTAGCAGCAGCATTTTGGTTTATAATAATGTCCTCCTTTTCTACTTTAGAGTTACACATATTTTAAAGCGCGAACAAAAGCAACGCCATAATTTTGTTTTTGTACATCGAATACACGAGTCGATATCAAAACTAAGTTATCTCCGTTACTGATGCGCCCGCTGGCAGGGTCGCCATATTATAAGGACAAGAGAAATGAAACGCTTGAGTGTTGACGTAAGACTACCTGTAATTACGTTATTAATAAGTTTATATATTAGATTATACCCAAACATACGTATAGATACTAGGTAGATACTACACAGTCAAGATCTGTAGTGAGGATCTGTAGTTAAGATCTATAATCGGATAAGATCGGTATTAATACCTTAGTGAAAAAAATACAATAGTTAACCAATGTCATCGATAGATGGTGTTGTGCAATTTATTAAATTTTGAGTAGGCTTGCTTATAATTTTTTTCTTAACCGTTGAGAATCTACAACATGGTAAATCAAATTTTAAAAGATCTATTAATAATTTCTTTAGTTTCCAAAAGTTTTAAAATTTACATTGTCGTGAAATTGAAAACTTACGTTACCCGATTTTAAGATGTTTAATATTATTCCTACCCGTTCTTTTCTAAATATCATATAATTTTAATTTTACTGGAGTATTAAAATAACTGCTGTAATTTTATTATATTTTATTATAAGGATTTTCAAGCACCATATGGTTTATTTATAAGTAAGATGTGAAAGACACATAATATGTAAATAATTACTTCGCTTGCTGCTTTTAACGCAATGTTTATATTGGACCAGCAAATATAAGATACTTACTTTTATCCGATAACCGTTACAGCAGTTTTACAGTGGTATAGCCATGCTGCAGTTATATAGGCAGTATAGTTGTAGCAGGAATGGGTCGGCTCGACCGGGGAAGGACCATGCTATCACAGAATACCAGCGTAAAATAGTAACTTAATGCTGCTGTGTTTCGTGTGGTGAGTGTAGAGAACCGGAGACCCTTTTTACTGGAAGTTTCATTGTGTGGTAGTTTGGCCAGCAACTACTTACCATCAGGTGGACCTGTAAAAAATCATTTTAAAGTCGACTGCTGAACATAGGCCTCCCCATTATTTGCCTCATATTTGGTATAGTTTCCACGATCTATCACGCACCTTTTACCCGATTACGGAACCGAAGAAGCGAGTTATATACTATAATATACAACCGATATAATATGACCACGGCCGGGTGTAGGCATTCAATGAAATTTATATATAAAAAGGATATCATTGTAGGCATTTTCATACTTCTCGGAGCGGAAAGGAGTCCATAGTGCATTTTTTCCCTTTACTTTAAAATTTTGAATTAGTAATAAAGTGCATATTATTAATTTATATTTTTATTTGCTAAGTTACAGTTAAATTAGAAAAAATTGTTATTTTATATCAGAAGTTTTTTTTTATTTGGTTTGCAAATAGTGTTTATCAAATTTTATTTGTATTGGACATAGTTAAAACGAACAGAATAAAATTTGATTTGCCGTTAAGTTAGTTTTACCATTTACCGACAGACGTCACTGTTCTCTGTGTATCAACTATATACTCTTTATATACTGAGTCATAGTTACAACGCGGTCACATTAACTTGACGCATGGCTTTGATGACGTCATTTTGGCGGTCGGGTACGGTGCGAAAAAAAAGCATATAGCTAAATAAAAACTATATTTTTGATTTTGGAGCATAGGTTTTATTTGTTAATCTTGCATGTATGTTGTATATGTTGCGTCATGCATTTTTTATACAATATAATTTAAAACTATTTTATGTTGATAGATAAATATTTATTCAAAATTCATCTTCACTATAAATAATTGGTACAATATCATGGTCTAAACTGTCTTCTTCTTCACTTTCGATCTCGCTGTCGGATGACTCCTCTCCTCCAAGATCGATTACAAGTTGCTGCAGTACGTCGTCAACCAGGCCATCTTTTTCCCAGTATTCCTGAAAATAAATAAAATAGTGTTATAAATTTACCACAAAATAATTGTATCAATTTAGTGAATTACTAATATGTACCTCCAACAAAGTACTTATATTTTTTTATTTAACATCACAATACTAACATAAATACATACATACATACATACTTTAGATTTATAATTTATTTACGAACTGACCTGTTGTAGTCTCTCGACATGGTTAACTTCTTTTTTCCAGTCTGATGCTGTGATGGAGTTTATTGCATCTCTGGTGAGATTTTCAATTTTTCTTTCTTCTTGGTCTACGGTTTTGTATGCCACCCTCTGTTTGACCAAATTCCAGACATATTCAATGGGGTTGAGGTCACAATCGTAGGGTGGCAAACGTACAATTTCATGGCCATGTCGTTTCATTAAATCATCGACAATGTATTGCTTGGGCGGCTTTGCCTTTTTTTATAATATGGTAGAGTTCTCTTTTTCTCATTTTTTCATCAAATGGAATATTGTTGTCACGCAGCCATTGTTGCATGTCTCCTTTTAACGTTGCACTTGTGGGCGAGTAAGGATAATTCTTGATATTCCAGTTGCTGTACAGGTTCGTTTATCAACCTGATCTACAGGTATGCAAAAGCGTCTATTTTTCTTCTCATTCTCGAAAAACTGCAGCACTTTCAACACAAGATTTCTCCCTTCACTGTGTATACTTTTCCCCATGTTAAAAAATTTATAGTAACAAAAATAGTCCAAAATTAACAAAAACAGTCCAAACTTAAACAATAACGTAAACGTAACAAATGTCCAAAAACAGCCAAACTTAAACAATAACGAAAACGTAACAAAATATCCAATAACAACAATAGCAACAGAAGACTTGTCAAAATATCGACGCGCGTATCGGTAACAGAGATGCTAACCATACTGACGATTGCCGAGTGAGCAAAGGGAGTGCGGGGGGAAGCGCGCGAGGCCTCGCATTCCAGCGATGCGTCAAGTTAATGTGACCGCGTTGTAATATACTATACCGAGTGACTTACTCAATCCACCAGCGCACAACCTCAACCTAGACCGCTTGAAGTGGAAATCTAAAATTTGGAGAGGAGCTACCTTTTCAGACGTAGACATCCGCTATGAAATAAATTTGTAAAATTCGATCCTTAAGAGGGTAAAATAAGGGTGTTACAGTTTATTATTTTATTAAAAAAATATTTTACAGGGCATTGACTCGATACTTACTGAAAAAAATAAATGAATTACGTATTTTGCGATTTCATAATAACCGGTTACGGCAGGGTCAGAGGATGTTCAATTTTATATAGAGATAATATATTTTGGTATTTCTTAAAACCCTTATATGATAATGTTCAATTGTATAAGTCGCATGAATGGGTCGACTTGACCAGGGATGGACCACGCACTCACAGAATACCAGCGTAAAATAGCAGTTTTTTATGATAAGTATAGAGAACCGGAGACCCTTTTTACTGAATACGAGGCGGTCCATCTTAGTCCTCAGGAGTGTCATCTGCATTTTGATACTTAATCCATCAGGTGGACTGCGTGATCGCTTGTCACCCTAATTTTATTTAAAAAAATACAGTTTATTCTAAGATCAGTCCTGGAATTCCGGGGATATCCCCTTTTTCTTATATCCGAACAGAACTGTTTCTGCACAGCAGCATCCTGGTTCTCGATTCTTTAAATAAATTAATTTATATATGATGTATTTGTGTCCCTTTAATTTTTTAGTGTCAGCGGATGAAGATTAGTTATTAAGAGTGATTTCCTGTTCAGTTTTTTGTATATTCCAAACTAGATTTTTTATAAAAATTGATATTTAATTGCTTTTTTATTTTCTATTAAGCAAAAGAGTTATTCGATTTTGAACGTACAAGCTAACTGACTGGTAATTAGTATGCTAAGAATAACGTTGGATTAAATTATGAAAAATAACAACTTTCAAGCATACACTAAGAACCGACAAGAACTAGAAATCACTGTTCCAAGCCTCTTTTAGAACCAGATATAAGAATGAGGAATCAGATCCGGTTCTGCATGCTCTAAGTGTAAGGAGGAACATGAGACTCAAGTCCACGTGGTGCGTGGTTATTTTAGAAAGAAAACAACAATATTTTATATTGTTTTGTAAACAAATAATAAAATATAACTTGATTTCGGGATATTCCGTTTATTCACCCTAAAAATCCATCCTGACACATGTATGTATCCTTTATTTCACCAATTATAAATAATAAATAAAATAATTTAATTTATTTTATCTTTGGTTTTACTGTTTAAGGGTGGATAAACGGAATAACCTATTTAATCTCAGGTTTAAACTGAAATCTGTTTCATGAAAGAAGTCTCGCAGAAATATGCGAACTAAAATGTATAGAGTTTGATGATGAAATTGAATTTTAAATTGAAACAAACGAAGTTTCGCGAACACTGGCGCTACGGCTAAAGGAATTCTTTAGTTAGTTACAAAAAATAGGCCTTTATTTTTGTTGTGTTTATACGATTATAAACAATAATATGATCACTGCAGTAGTATAACCAGCTATGTGTCAGCAATATTGCGAATAATTAATCAAAATACTTTTAATTTTTTTGGTTTTTTCCAAGGCCCGCATTTCACGCCTGTGGGACGAAATTTGGCGATGGATTATTTTACATCGCCACCACACGGGATTAAAAAGCACACTCCTAAGTTTGATGATGAAATTGAATTTTAAATTTTAATTTAAAATTTTAGAAAATTTAATTAAAATTTTAATTTTGAATTATAATTTTAAAGTTATACTACTGCAGTGAAATACAATACAAGTTTTTTCATCGTAATAAGAGAATTTTGGGTCACGTAGAAATGTTTTTGCAAAATACTATAATAAAAATACTCATTTTGAAGCACCACGAACCTAGTGATTAGATAAAGGTTAATAAAATTCGGTGGAATCTATTTACAATTTTAAAGTTATATCATCATATTGGCGAACGCGAAAAGTATGTTTTTTTAAATAAAACACAAGTGACAAACGAGCTTACGGTCCACCTGATGGTAAGTTGTAGTCCATAAAGCCAACTACAAACGAAGGATGAAAGAATGCGTCATGAAGGTTAGAGAGAAGGAGAATGATAGCTGTAGAAAATAGTGTCCCAGAAATATGGACAAAATAAGTGAGGCACTGCAATCGCTAAGTTGTCTCAATAAAAGTCATTTTCAGTCTATTTTTTCAATCAGATGCTAAACCACTTGCACATCCACGCACAATACAATATTTCACCATTTTTTAATGTTTCTTTTTGTCAAAAATTAAAAAATTACGGAGCACGATTATTTTCTCACCAATGCACTTACTTGAAAGAAAGAAAACAATATTTTATATTCTTTTGTCAACAAATAATAAAATATAACTTGATTTCATTTCAAAATGCGATGAATAGAAAATAGTTTTATAACATAATATTCAGTTATAACTAATGCCTCGTACCGCAGTATCTGCTGACAAATATGCTCTCGTAAATATGGCGCACGGGAATATACGTCGCAATATAAAATGTATTTGTGAGAAGCAGTGTAAATAAGCAAAGAGTTTACCCTTTGTAAATATCGATGTTTTATCGTTTACTCACGAATATTCGACAGTAATATTGAAATTTCTGTTGTTTTGGATACATTCAACTCTAGTAAAACCCCAGTATATTGTACTGTAAAGACAGCGCGGGTACGACGATGTATTAATATTTTAATTTAAAAAAAATCCCCCTTACGCCAAGATCGTTACCGTTACAGCCTATAAATGTCGACCGCCTTACCGGTGTCATATGTAGTTGCCACACTTGGCACGCGGGTCGACAATCGCATTTCTTATCACCAGCCCCAACGACCAAGCCTGAAATCAGTTCTTTTAGAAATGTCACGGCGTGTGACTCTACTAACCGATAGTCTTTCACTGATAGTTAAATAATTCGTAGTAGCATAAAAAATAGTCATCTCTTACAGACTCTTACTTCTTAATTCAGTCGTCTTTGATGCAGCCCCGGCCCTAAACGTAAGGTCTCTAAGATTTAAAAGATTTTACTTAAAATCTGTTAGACAATCTTCTTATTGCTAACTTGCTAACCACATAGAGGCGGTGTAACAATATCCACTACTCCATATCGTCCCGTGGATGTCAGAACAGTCGACAGATGGAATCTGAAACAGGAGATCGACAGCAGCATCTTCCTAATATAATATAAAATCTTTGACTTACTTTTCTGACAGTTAGGAAAAAACATATAATGGTTTAACGAAGTCACAGTCTATGACAAAAAATTTTTACAGATTTATTTGTTTTATTATGGTATTCCCAGTAACCTAACCTCACCTAACTTTTTAATCGATGTATTTTTTTTAACTTAAAAAAAATTCAACATTTGAAAAATAGCTCTGACAAAGGTTTTTAGTTTATTCACCTATTGCATTTTGTCAAGATGGTAGAAAAGCACCCATTAGCTTGTTGACCACTCTGTGGTGCAATGGCTTAGCAACGAGATGCAGCGCTGAAGGCCGAGGGTTCAAATCTCGCACGGAACAAATATTGCATGGCCTTCAAATAATTGGTTTAGTTTTAGATGTTTGTCTTTGTGCAATTTATTTATGTAAACTGCCTCTACAATACAGGAGAAAGACACATAATGGATTTTTTGATAAGATTGAAAAAGTAAATAAATAAGTGTTTCTTAAGTCTAAAAGTTGAGCACATGCGCCGTCATTGCTAAGAGGTTTCAGGACATGGATTGCAGCAGTGTGTTTCTTGTTTATGCGATTTTTTTTTAATTTCTCAAATATGTTCCCTACTATGTTCTCCTTAACTGTCGTGCGAGTGGTTGATCATTTGACTGTCTCGTTGGTCTTGTGATCCCGGGTCGTGCCAAAATTGAGTTTTTGTCAATAAATTCTCAGTAACAGACAAGATTCAGGAAATTGGGGTTGTTTCACCCCTGTGCCTCGTAAAGAACACGTAAAGCCCTGCACCC